GGCTGCGGGCACCCCGGGAGGAAAAAGGGGGCGAGGGCCGTGAGGCGGAACATCAGGAACATGGAGGCCCCGGAGGGCAGGCGGCCTTCGGTGGGTCTCCTCGCACAGATGGGCGCCTGCTCCGAGCGACATGCGCGGAGTAGAGCGATAACGGGCACGGGAGGGTCGGTACGCGCCGGGGTTGGACACGAGCCTTTTCCGAAAGTCATTTACGTATCTGTTTATTGATTTGATTTCTGCGGTGAGGAGTAACGCGGGCTTGCAGTAACACACAGGCTGGCCTAAGGCTGTGAGGTGCAGACCGGCAGCAGTGCTGAAATCAAGCATAGAATTCAAAAAATAACACATAAAGTGCCTGCAGAATGCGGCAGGATGGAGTTACAGGCACTGGTAGTTACCCAGTGCCTGTTACAGAAGTGCTGTGGCACATCTGGGATGATAATGAAAAGTAGCAGCCCCAGAATAATGTAGTTATTAAAAAAAATGCCTTATTTCTGTGAAAAGAGAGCAGAAAAGTGGGAAAGCTGACCTACTGCAGAATGCTGAGTGAGGAAAAATTGTCAAAACATCCCAAAACTGCATCAAAAGCTTTGCTGTCCATGGTGGAAGCAAAAGGAGCTTCCTTTTTGTCACCTCAGCAGGCTTTGCCATCAGGCCCATACCAGGACAGGACTGGAAGTCAGCTAGACTTTTGAACAGGCTTCACATTTCCAAAAGCATGTGGTACTTTCTTATTATGCTTTTACAACTTAATCCTATAATTTTGCTTGAGCTACAACTGTTTGTTTCTATCCTGCCTTACAAAAGCAAAAGAAAGGAAATAAATATTTTGCTGGCTCCCTCCAGATATACAGCAACAGTAAACACATGGACTTCCTCTCAACTGCCATCCACATTCTTCTGACATCCAGGAGAAAGTGCTGACAGGCCGCTTTTCCCCAGAAGTAGACAGTGGTTGTAGCGTAGCCTTTTCCTCCTCACTAGAGGTTCTCAAAAGATGGCAGAACTGATCAGAAATCTTGTCAGAACTTTTTTCCTTCCTGTGTTCTCCACTTAAGTCATACTTCTCTTTTTTAGGCTTAAATACAAAGTGAAAAAGAATGTCAATAGTCACAGTTCAGCTTGGTCAGTGTGGGAATCAGATTGGTCATGAGGTCTTTAACGCTATCTGCAGCGATGTCCACAACACACACGGGTTGTGTTCCAAGAAGGAGAATGAATCCTACTGTGATGCTTGCAAAGAACGTTTTTTCTGCGAGGAGCAATCTGAAGGTACAGCATTTAAGTGCTTGTTTCCCACAGAGAGTCTGTTTTCCAGCCTAATATATATGAGTATAGAAATAATAGAAGTCTTTAACCTTCAGCTGAAGAATGAGTTTTATCTTCAGTCTTGAAGAACTGTCAGAATCCTCTGCCTTCACAACATTCCTAACAACCATGGAAGCACAATCCTTGCAGTAAATGCCTGAGACCACAGAGCAACTCTGCCAGTAATGCAGCATAAATGCATACATAATCTTTCCTTCCAAATATCTGTACTTTTACTGTAGATAGATCACATGACAGAGTAGGGCCCAGAGTATCTGAATTTGGTGTTATCAAACACATTAAGTGGATTCTTTCCTTACAGATCTGTGGTCTCTAGAGTTCACAAGTGTCTTCGGAATAATAGATGGTTAACCAGACTTTGCCAAGTCCTCCTTTCTGTACTTGCCTGTACTGTCCAATGAATAGTTTATCTTATGTGGGAGGAATACAGTCTAGGCTGTGGTGCAAGTTCATCAGTCTTATGGAAACATGTTCTAATATTGGCACATTATTCTTAGTTCTGTTTTTCTTCCTATCCAGTACCTGTTGCTCGGGCTGTGCTTGTTGACATGGAACCTAAAGTAATCAGCCAAACCTTATCAATGGCTGCCAGATCTGGCTACTGGAAATATGATGATGGGTCACACTTCTGTCAGAAGCAAGGGTCTGGGAACAACTGGGCAAATGGGTATGAACAATGGTTTCAAGCTTCACTAGGGACTGTAGAGGCTATTGAGCTGTCTAGACCCTCTAGGAGTGGTAGTATTGCAGCTGCGTGAGGTACAGAGTGCGTAACGTTAACTTGATTCATTTTTAAGTTAAAGCAGCAATATATAGAGCAGTGAAATTTCTAAACTGCCTTTTGCAAGATGAAACTGGTATTTAAAAATGTAACATTTTAGAATTGAGTGAATACATTAGTTTTAAGAATAGGAAACAATAAAGAGCTTATAAACTGCTGTTTTGCAAAATGTCACAGCTGAGGACTGTTTACTGCAGATAGAATGGATGACAATGTGAGGTTATATAAATAATAAGTGTTTTATGAATAGCTTCACCTTTCTGCTTTTATTTTGATATAAACTGCCACATCTTGCTGTCTTGTCTGTTATTCAACAGTTATTCTGTTCACGGGCCTAGACACAAAGAAGTAATAATGAATCTGGTGCAAAAAGAAGCAGAGAAATGTGATCGACTCAGTGGATTTTTCACAATCATGAGCATGGCTGGTGGTACAGGGTCTGGCTTGGGAGCATTTGTGACCCAGTGTTTAAGAGATGCTTTTCCAACCTCATTTCTGCTAAACCATGTTATCTGGCCCTACGGCACTGGTGAGGTATCGTATTTCCCAGAGACACTCTACAGGTTGATAGTCACTGTTTACTTCTAAACATACAATAATTGTAACTGAAACTAGAAGAGAGGTACATTTTACTTTTAAAAACTTCAACATAACAGAAAGTAACACAGCTAATTAATTGTTTGCCTAATATTTGGTACATGTTGTTTCACACCTGCAAAAAAGAAAATTCTTGGTAAGTGCTAAAGTATGATGCAGTTTGATGAGAAGCTCTATGAGCTAACTAGAAATCTCCTGTTACGGTAGTATCTCAGCATTATAATCAGTTCCCAGACAGATTTTATTGGCATGTTTGTGTGAAGTGAGATTGATAACATGATTTTACAGGTCATGCTCTCTTTCCATGAAAAAACTCTGCTAGCCCCTGACCTTATTCTGCACTTTGGCAAAGAAAATGCATCGCTTCCTAAACCATAACTGAGAAGATAACAGTAGCCAGAGGATTATAAACCAGAGAGAGATTGTTTGACTGTCATTTGTGTGTGGTTTTTTGTTTGTTTGTTTCCAGGTTATTGTTCAAAACTACAACTCTGTTTTGACTCTGTCACATCTGTACAAGTCATCAGATGCCCTTCTTGTTCATGAGAATGATGTTGTCCACAAGATCTGTGCTCAGCTGATGAACATTAAACATATCTCCTTCAGGGATATAAATCAAGTCATTGCACATCAACTGGGGAGTGTTTTCCAGCCCACTTACACAGCAGAAGGTGGCTTGCACTACAGCAGAAACCCATTAGGTATCTAAATGTAACGTAGCTGCCTACTGCAAACTCACACACCTTTCTGTAATCACTTCATATTGTAAATGTAAATTCTTCAGGCTCCTTACGCAAGTATTCAGATACATCCCAAGTTTTAAGATAGGAAAAGCGAAGCAAAAGACTGAATCAGAAGTTCAATCTCAGTTTTGTAGCAGAGTCAAAAATAGATCCCCCAGCTTCTGGTTTCATTCTTTACCAAAAGAACCCTGTTTCTCCTTTTTCAAGAGATTACAGACACTCTTGTACCTATTTTACATTTCAGAGGCAATTTGCATAGGACAGTAATTTTGGACTGAGTTTTAAGTTTCACACTAGGTTATAAGTTTGTATAAATTGAAACAGAATGAAAGGTTTGTGTTTGGCACAAGCAGAAGACAGGCTAGCATACAACTTTGTAGCAACAAGCTGACATTTGTATCTTTAAGGGATTAGAACAAGTTACCCATATTGCCAAGAGTTTTGCTTGTAAAATTAAACTTTCACAGCTGTCTATCTCTTTAGCAGTGCATAGTCTTGAGATTGAGCCAGACTACAAAGTGAGACAAGTCTAAATTGTAAAATAAGAGCAACTAACATGCTTTTATAGAACTCAGTAGGACGTAGCAAGTTTGCATTACTTTGTCTGATATCTGCCCATGTATTTGTCAAATTAAAACTTTATATATCCACTTTGTTTCTTACCTTAACTTGCTAGGTCTTTGTAAGATTCCTCACTCTCCTATTTTAGCCTATGCAATATTTTTGTCAAACATGAGCAGCTGTTAATTTCTTCCTTCAGGAGACTTAATGGAGACATTAGTTCCACATCCTGAATTCAAGATGCTGGGTCTTCGTAACATACCTCAGATGCCTGAAAATTCCCTCGCTTATAGCACATTCAGTTGGCCCGGACTCATCAAACATTTAAGGCAGATGCTCATTGCTAATGCTAAAATGGAGGAAGGTAAAAAACATTCACTTATCTTCAGTATCCCTCACTCTTTAAGCATTTGTTTTTACAGATGAAATAGAGCTTATTGTTTTGTGGAACTTACTGATTAGCTTTAGTCATTTCAGAGATGAGTTGCTGCACTCTTACATAGCCAGCTGCTCCATTAACTATTCACTCAGCTGCCACAGCAGCTCCTGGCTTGCTCCTGGTTTTGCTCCCAGACATCTCAGTTAATTATAGCTATTGAAAGTATGCAAAACAGCCCAACAGTTTTTGGCTGGGCACTTAATTTCCATGATTCATTTGGAACATTCCCTGGATAGTTAGTTCTGCTGTGCTTTTTCTTTGTACACCTACTAATAAAAATCCCACTAAGCTCTCCCATATCATTTACATGGGGAATTCAGGATAGCTTCCAGTTATGCAAAGAATGGGCTGGCAGATTGCTAAGTATAGAAACAAGAATGCATCTTCTCTGGTAAGACTAGTGACTACAGGGCAAATACTGCTGGATTAGCACTGGTTTACTCTGAGAATTGTGTAATTGCTGCTTAACTGACAAACTAATAGGATCTCACCTTGAGCACAGTGTAAGTTACCATCTGACTCTTCAGCTAATCTGAATCCACATTTCATGAACCATTAACTTTCTTTTATATCTCATAGGTATTGATTGGCAAGTACGACCCCCACGTCTGGGCTCCTCCATCCCCTCCAGCCATTCTGCAAACAAGACACTTCATTTCAATACTTCCATTGCCAACCTGGTTATCCTGCGAGGAAAAGATATGCAGAGTGTAGACTTAGGTAAGAAGGAAAAACAAAGCACCTTAGTAATTCTTGTTTAATATCTCACTGTTTCACAATTATATTCTCTACAGTTTGAAAGATTTTTTTTCAAGGCCTGAACTGATCTTCCTAGCATCAATCAGGTCACACAAGACTGCAGAGATCAAGATGTAAGAGCTTGTAGCTTTATATTTATCAAAAGGTCTGTCTTATTTCTGGTACAGGAAGTTTCCAAGATCCCTCATTATATACATCATGGCTAAAGCCCAAGGATGCTTTTCATTCGTGGAAAACACTAAGAGCATTTAACAAGTATGAAAAGTCGGCTTCTTTGGTCAGCAACAGCCATTTTTGCTGAAACCTCTTGACAATGCTGTAGGAAAAGCTTGGAATATGTTTGCTTCCAAGTAAGTGAAAATAATTACGCTGATACTTTGCTAATAACGCCAATATCCTCAGTAGTAGCAAAATAATTGTATGTACAGCTCTCAGCAAAGTGTAATGGTGAAGAAGCATTAGAACCAAGAAATCTGGAAAAGAATTGCCTCTTTACTTTGATCATCATGCAGCCAAATTACTGCATAACAGCAGATACCTGCTAAAGGTGAGTTTGTAGAACAGAAATTCTGCAATTAAAAGCCACTAGCTGTGCTCCCTGTTACAAAACCACCAGTGATAAGAAGCAAGCTGTCCTGCACACACAAGTTTAGGCTTTGCATCTCAAATCTCTCTGTTACTTTTCTTATTTAATAATCGCTTCTCCTTCCATTTCCCAGTTAGCCCGATTTTGTTAGCTGTAATTTTGTTTCCTTAAGCAATACACAAAGTTATAAAACCTATGAGAAACAAGTCATGACTCACTGATAAGTTTGAATTACAAAATGAGTTCAAGAGGGCACAGTAGAAACTAACCAGCGTAGTTATTGGGTGGAAACCAATCTTCATTTGAAGTTTTTACAGTAACTGTACAATCTGATCTCATGTGTCAGATTCTTCACTGCTTTCTAACATCTTACCTGTTTTCCTGCTGTGACTTCAACACACAGAGCCTATATTCACCAGTACACTAAATTCGGAATTGAAGAGGAAGATTTCCTGGACAGCTTCACAGCTCTGGAACAAGTTATCTCCAGTTACACCAGCCTTTGATTACATTTTTTAATAGCCTGAACTAGAGCTTTCCTGAAAGAACCCAGCACTGGAAAACCTTCCATCAGCTTCCTGAAGTATATGAATTACTGGACTGTAGCTATTTTTCAGTCTTTTAAGAAGTGTGTGAATCTTACAATAGTAAGAACTGAATAAATGAACATGGGCAGGTATTATTTAATAAACAGCTATTTTTCAAGACATTTGCTATGTACTGTAGCTGAATCTTTGAACATAATTTTTGGCACTTGGGTATTTTTCATACTGAATGTCTATACAGAAGGCTTTTTCTCCAGGCTAAACTCTCAGCATATAAACTATCATGAACTAATATGTGATAAAAATTAAATGTGGGATTGACAGCAGGAGTGAGACGTTCCTGATCCTACAATTTAAATTTTTCATGATTACTCTTGCCCCAAGAATGCTTCAATATTAATAAAAATGCACACTATCAATCAGAATTATTAATCCAAACTCCATATCATTCAAGATATAACAGTGTGCCACCAGTTCCTATAAAGCAAAGCAAGACTTGAATTCTACTTTAAGGACCTTGCCTTTGACAAAATAGCGGAAGTTTGGAACCATCTTTAAAAATAAGGTATGAAGGGCTCTTCATTTTCCTGTCATCCTCAGATTATATTACAGATTGTAATGAATTATATGATTTTCTGGCCATTTTACTGTGCCATGTTGTCTTTTCCCTATAGCATATCAGAGGTCTTGGCTACTTGTTATAGGCAAACCGTAAGTTTAAGCAGGACTACAATTCCTGTGATAATTCTTCCTGTAAAGTTAGAAGCAGGAAGGTTTTTAATTATTTATTTATTTGAACATATCTGGGAGGACATCTCTGGTAGATTTAAGATGTAAAAGCCTGTAATATAATACAATAGATTGCATTATTTCAGAAGTTAAAAATGGGTCTTTTTTTTGCACAGATTTTACCATGACCACAAGGTGGAGCCCCTGTGAAGCTGCTGAAGCTGCTGCCTGCAAACACTGAGCTGCACCAGCCTGGCAGGAGGAACAGAAAGCGATAGCTTGTGAGGGCACAGACTTGGTGCTTATAAACTAAAAGAATACAGTGGAATTGAGGATTCTGTTGTAACACTGAGCTTTCTTCTGCCTCTGTTAGTTCTCACTTCATGGTAGGGAGAGCTTTTGGAATTCTGCCATTCCTCCCCTCATGTCACGCTGTTCTCCCTGTTAATAGAAATAATCTCACTGTTAAATAGGTATGCCAAAGAATAAAAGTGAAAAAATCAGTCTCAAGGGGTTTTCCTTTGACAAGTGGACAAATCTCATAGTTTCCCTTTATGTTTCAGTGTGGTTTCCTGCCAGACCTCTCAGCTTTTAACTAAAGAGGTGAGCACACGCATTGTATGGTGCTAAATACATTGGACGTAAGTGACATGGCCAACAATGCCCATGTAGAAATCTTGCCCTGTTAGAGATCCTGATTTAGTTTTTAAATCTTAAAAAAATTAACAGCGGTAGGTGTAGAACTGACCCTGTAATTCTGCTAGGCTTCAGTTCGAGCACAGTAGACACTATTACTTTTATTTCCTTGCCTGGTTTCATTTACCTCTTCACTTTTGTTCAGGCTAGGTATAGCACCACTAAAATCCCCCCTGGAGCACCTGTTCTCAAAGCAGTTCTGGCACGTGACACCTGGAACAGCAAACAGCCGCCTTGACAAGATTCAAGTAACTGTACAACTGACACTGAAGGAAATAAGTAAGTACTGAGGCTAAGTTCTCAATTGCTCAAATACACCCATAGTAACAGCCCATCACTGGCATGGTTGTGTCAATGTGAGCCTCAATGGATTCTAACAGATTTTACAGTAGCTTATAGACAAGCAATGTTAATCTCTCACGCCTTCCAAAAAAATAAGTTTCAACTGCATGTTAGCAGTAGGGCAAACTTCACTACACATTAGAGTTGAGTCTAGTCCTAGTTCATGGAAAAAAATGACCTGTGTAAATTAAGAGTTACACTGGTGCTTCAACTCAATAGCTGAATCATTAAATATACAGGGGAATTAGAATAATTTGTGGGGGGAAAACAAAAGGGAAAGCAAAGAGGACAAAGCAGATAGGGTAAATATATCTAATAAATATAAAGAACACTTGACGTTTATGACAAAACATTTTGACTATTCTTTGTGCAGACCACAGTACCTAATCCAACAACTTGGCCTGTTTTGCCATCTGTTTCCAGTCAGCTCTGCTGTTTTAGGAGCTCCCTCTCAAAAGCAGAAGACACAATAATCTTACCTCTCCAGCCATACTTCAAGCCGTATGCTGCAATGTAAAATTAGAGTTGTTTGGAAGTTCAAAACTATGTATAACTTTTGTTATATTATTTATGATGGTTTTGGGGGGTTTTCCCACTAAATCACTATCCAACAGCTCAGAGCTGGGGGACCGTGCTGATCCAAAGGCCTTTTCTAGCGTAGTGTTTTTGTTATTTTTAACCATTGTCTCTAACTTAGATATTTTCACAGGAGAAATGGGAGAAAAGATTGCACAAGAAGTTAAGATAAACAGCACAGGCGATTCAAGTCTGCAGGGAACAAAGGGTCAGGAAAGGAGACAGTATGGTGAGGTTCTCCCTCCTCCTTCCTTTAAAAGGCACAGGATGTTTAGCAACATAGAAATACTTTTCCCTACTGTTTTTAACAGATACCAGACTGAAAACTTCTTCTGGTATCAGAAATGAGAGTAGGTAACTCCGTGTCTAGAAAAATGACTAAGGCCCAGGAATGCACACTCTTCCTCATTGTTCCACATGACAGGTAAAAGATTTAAAAAGCTAAAGACAGACAAATCATCTCAGAAACAAGGAAGACAGCAATGTGTTATTGCACTGCTATATCAATAAGTAACTTTATTGCAGAAATAACCTCACGTTATCTCTATGTACTTATAATTCTGAGCATGAAGCAAATACAGCAGGTGCCCAGTGCACCTATGAATGACATCCTCATTTATCCATTCTTTGTAAGTACATTTATTATTTAGCACTTTTAGTTAATGGAGCAGGATATTTGGGATCTTTTGCTTGTTTAAGTTTGATGGCACAATTTGGACCACATTAGGAAACATGGCACACAGCTAAGATGTATAACCCCAGAGCAAAAATTACTATTTCCTTACTTAATCTGTAGTTATATGAAAGCACAGAGGAGGATTCTGCAGCTCAAGGACAGAGCTAGGCCAACAGGTTTATTACTGCTGAACAAGGATATTTCTGTAAGAACTTGTTCACAGTTAGGATTCAGTACTCCTACTTCCATGGGAAAACAGTTTTTGAAAGGAGCAATAGAGGATCACAACCATCAGCCAAATTTTGACAACACAGATTCCTCAAAATTACAAAAAAACCCCAAAAACCAAACCAAAAACCCAAGGAAGTGAAAACAGAAGTGTAGCTATTGTATTAACTGTTCAATCCTTCTCGCTGCCCTGGAGAAGAGATTGGCAGGAATTATTTTAGGCATCTCTAGGCTTCTTCCTGTTAGTGTTTTTCACTACTGGCCTCAGTTCTGAAATTCTCACACCCTTTCCCAAACTAAGCCTTCATTTTCTGATCTATGGCTGGATTACTCTGTTTTTTTCCCCAGGATGTGGAGAGGGTCAAAGTAACAGGAAGTGAATAGCTGTTCTCAAATACTCATTATTTACAATTATATTAGAAGGTGGAGGAATAATTTTCAATTTTATTGATAAAATTACTCATGTAAATAGTCAGAGCCTAGAAAAGGGCCTTTATTGCATTAGAAATTAAAATTAATGAGGCAAACCAAAGGTCAGCACAAGCCAGTGGCTCACTGAGGCAGGAACAACAGAATCAGTGGCCTTGACCTGGCTAGTTTTAGGCAAACTACCCACAGGATGTCCATAAACTGAGGAACAATGCATCAAATATCACTATTGTTTTTTGTAAGGGACAGGTGCAGCTCACTTGGAAGTTGATTCAAGGACTCTAACTATAGCAGACATCTTGAAAAGGATAACTTTTATCTGGCCACAAAAAAACTCTAAAAACAAACCCAAAAATTAACCTGTTAGAAATACTTTAAACATAATAAACCGTTAGGCAAGTGACAGGCCACTAATGTGGTTATAGATACTGATTTGGACTTAAGTATATATTGGTGCTTATAAGGTTAGACTGACTACCAGTACAGAAAGGATAGAGTCTTAGTGTAAATATATAAGGGGTTTTTGAGAGGATTACCTGCACAGATTTACCAAACTGAAACAGCTCAAGATTGAGGGAAAAAAAATCTGTGGTTTCCACAACAACCAGGATTTATTAATAAGAAACAGGGAAGTTATATTCAAATTACCAGCTGATAGGCACAAAAGGATATGGAATAATTGATTTCCTTCTGCATTTGTTAATAAATTTCATATAGATAAATATTATGAAATCTGGGCCAAACATACAAAAGGAAATATTCTCAGAAAGCAAAGCATGCTTCAGAGAAGTTTGCGTTGTGCTGGACACCACTTTAAAAACTGCCCAAGAATCATCAGGAATGTGATTCATGGATCTGAAATGGTACAAAAAGCTTTCAGAAGGAATTGAGCTGCTGCCTTTCCTCTGCTGCTTTCAAGGGCAGCCCAACCACAGCTTTACCAAGGCAGCAAATTCCAGCGTAGCTTCCTCATCAAGCCTCCTGCTTCTGGCTTCCTACCCCACCTCTGCCCACGCTCCAGAAGCACGGCCTGGACATTCAGACAGCTTTTAGCTCCTCTGTATGTAAAGCTGATAATCCTGAATTTCAACTATAGAGCCTTTCCGGCTCTTTCAGTCAAACCCGAAGTTCACAATGGTCCCTCCTGATTTCACATTGTATGAATCCTCTCCCTCTGGACAGCCACTTCCCCTCTACCCGGGTGGGGTAATGAGTCACCTACCTCCGTGAATCAGCAGGACCTGCTTAACCCTTTCACAGAAGCACAAACAGCTGCAAATGGGGT